CCCCCCCCCCCCCCCCCCCCCCCCCCCCCCCGCACAATTCTGGGAAGGTTATCTACACAAAGGAAAGTGTTCTGGGCAGGCATTTACACTCAGGGTATCTGTTACAGTAGATAAGGCAACCCTGGCCTTCCAGGGGTTTATAGCCAGCGAGGGAAGATTGATAAGTAAAGGAATAATTAACAGTAGGCTGTGCTGGATGCTTTGGAAGGTTTGTACAGAATGCAGTGGGATCTTAGGGAGGTTTAAAATTTTGCAGGAGGGGGGAGTGTCAGGGAAGGCAGACAGAGGAGATGGTGCTGAGATTGAATTTTAAAGGCTAAGTAAAATTTTTCCAGCTGGTCCTTGTGTGACAGACAGTGAAGCAGATGAAAGAATGGAGTTGCAATTGTCTGGTCTGGAGAGTGCGTCCTAGAGTGAGGAGCGTGGGTGGGACGAGACCTTAACGGGGCCTCTGTGCTCTCTTAGGCATTGGGACTTTTAATCTGAGGAGATGAACAGAAGGAATGACTTTTTAGGAAGTCGATTTGGGGGTTGTAGCACTGCCCTCAAATTCAGTTTCTTTGAATGTGGCTGTTAAGTTTGGGTTGCTGGTGGTTCCAGACAAGCCAGAGAATGACATGATGGGGGAGCCAGTCAGAACAGACTCTTCCCATCATGGGAGTCTCAGATTTTAGTGGGAATTCCCAGTAATTCCATCCTCTGTTGAAGATGGGGTTGTGTGTTGTCGGGGGGGTTGGTAGCAGGCTTTCATGGCCTGTGGCATTCTGAGTGTTTGAGAGTGACACGTCTTGGTTTGGAAAGGCCACTGGAGGTCATGGAGAAGTAAGTGTAGGGGATTTCCCGCTCCCCACCTCTACTCCCAAGAACCCATTCTCCCTCTGTGCTTAGAAATGGTCAGTGTGTCGTGCGGCGCTGGGGAGAATGTAGAAACAGCTCAGGCCCTGGATGCTGGGTGGGAATGAAGGACTTGCTTTAGATAGCCATTTTGTGATTTTGCAGAGGAAGTGGAATGAGATCAAGAACGTGGGGTCCCCAGGGGCTGCCAGGGGCTGAGGGGAGAACTTCCTTTTCCTATAAACATGAGCTCTGACAGGGAACAACACACAGTGCTGTGTTTTTGCAATAGGTGGTTTATGAAAACAGGAAGATCTTTGCTCCTACTGTGAGGATTGGAAGTGAGTGCTGGGGAGGAACTGAGGCTAGAGACTGTTCTAATATAGATCTCTGGTAGGGCGGATCACGCATTTGAACACTCTGGGGAAGGGGCTAGGAACATGGGGTCCAAATCCAAAAGACAGGCTAAAATCTGCCTGTCTCCACATTTTAGCTGTGTGACTTTGGCCAAGTTACGCAACCTCTCTGTTTTAGGTTCTCCAACTGGAATGAGTCATAATACTGCCCCCACCACCCCCAACATCAACAACAATAACAAAACTTCGCGTTTATTGAGTACTTACAGTATGCCAGGCACAGAGCAAACATGGTTTAGCTTCATTGTCTCATTTCTTAACCCCACCCCGTGAAGTAGGTAGTGCATTGTCAGCATTTTACAGATAAGGAAACCCGGGCACAGTGAGGTCAGTAGCTTCCCCCCCCCCCCGCCAAAAGTCAGTAAGCGGTGCAGCTAGGGTTTAAGTGCAGACAGCATGAGGCTGGAGTTTAAGGCATTGCAGAGCTGTTCTGAGTTTTGAGGGAGATTATGTATGTGTAATGCTTAATATAGATGTAGCTCCGGGTAAGTATTTGGTACTGTTAGCTGCGCCTTGTGTTCTGAGCCTCACACTGCTCCTTTTTGTCTCTCACAGAAGCGGCTGACACAGGATGATGATGCCGATGAGGTGGAGATTGCTGTTGACAACACAGCCTTCATGGATGAGTTCTTTGCTGAGGTAGGAGACCTTCCTGTGGTGTTTTGTTTTTGTTTTTGCTTTTCCTCGATGTACATAAGGAAACACAGCCACTGTGTAAAGAATAAAACTTGGCTCTTTCAAGGGCAGCAGAGGACGGTCGGTCTTTTCCTGGGGTGGGGGCGGCCAGACCAAGAAGTTGCTCGGAGATTCTCTTCAATACCTACTTGGGAGGGTCTGGATTTTTAATCTTATTGAGAAAGTCAGCAGAGGGTAAGTTATATGTAAAGAGATGTTTTTAAAGTTTTACGCTGCATGACAACATTTTAATGATACCCTTTCTTGCCTAAATTATGTGATTTCAATACAGAATCAACCGTGGGGGTCACAGTCGTGAGTGTAAAAGAAAAAAAAATTATGTTTTTAGGCCCGTGATTCAGATAGATCCGATTTGTTGTTTCCAAAAATTCAGGCCCTTTGACTTAATTCTAGTGATAACTGAAACACTAAGAAACCACCAGTTTATTTTTTTGGAAGTTCAACAGGGGCAAAGATGGGTTGCCCCCACCGACAGACCCGCATAATCTTTGATCTGGAAGGTCCTTGTGGGGAGTGCCTCTGTTCGATGGTAAGTGGTGGAGTACAGTGTCAGGGGGCTCAAATCTCAGCCCTGCTTCTTACCAGTGGTGGTTCCTTCACACGCTGGTTTTCCATATCTGTAAATGGGGACTGATACTATAATTCCCCTTAGGGTTATTATGAAGATTTCATGGAATAATGTTTGTAAAGCATTCAGTGTAGCATCTGACATGTATGTGCCTGATGGATGATCCTTCAAAACAAAAGCACGGGGGCGCCTGGGTGGCTCAGTCATTGGGCGTCTGCCTTCGGCTCAGGTCATGATCCCAGGGTCCTGGGATCTGGGATCAAGCCCCGCATCAGGCTCCCTGCTCCGCGGGAAGCCTGCTTCTCCCTCTCCCACTCCCCCTGCTTGTGTTCCCTCTCTGGCTGTCTCTCTCTCTGTAAAATAAATAAAATCTTAAAAAAAAAACAAAAAAAACCCCAAAAGCACGAAAAGTTCAGTCCCGGAAGTTTCTGCCATCATACTGTGTTTTTTTTTTTGTTGTTGTTTTTTAAATTTAGGCTTTTTATTTTTTTGGAAAGAAGACAAGAAGGGCCACATTCTTTCCCGCAGGAAGAATGTGGGCACCTCCCATCTCTAGATCGTGGATGTGGAAAGTCGCCCTCTAGCTCTTGTCTAAATAGCTTGGTGGTTCATGGCAGGTCATCTGTGGGAGTCGTTAGTGGGTGGGAGCAAACTGCAGTGTGTGCTGGCCTGACTGGGAAGTTGCCTTGAACTTGCTCTGCAGTTCCCCACCCTCTCCCTGGGTGGGTCTGTCCTTCTGGTCGAGGAGTCACCGTGAGACCCTAGAGCACTTGAGTTTTGTGAGTCCAGGGCTGTTTCAGGTGTGGATCTTGGAAGGGAAATGCCTTTTCAGGGGTAGGGAGGACCCCTGTAGGCCCTATAGCTTGTTCTGATCTTGCCCTGGATAAGCAGATACATTAGAGAACTTCTTCCCTTAGATAAGGCAGCTTTGCCTGTAACTGTGCTTCACCTCTTCTAAGCCAGTGCAAGGGTCCCTGAAGGGCAGTGTCCCTTGTGAAGTGGGAAGATGGTGGGCCTCCATGACGTGGTCTCAGTTCATCCTCAAGCATTTTGTAGCAGTTGACGTTGGTCCAGTCACTTAACGCCCCTGGCCTCTAATTCTGCTCTGGAAATTGGGAATGTCAGCACTTACCTTTCAAGGTCGTTGTGAGGATAACATGAGGATCACACATCCAGAAAGCGTTCTCTAAACAGAAAAGTGCTGGCTAGATCATAGTCATTTTTGGAGCCTTAACAAGAAAGACCTCGAGGGCTGCTTTTCTTTTTTGCTTTCTCCTTGTCAGATGCTTTTCTGTCATTTAGGAAAAATAAACCCAAACCCTGTCATATTTAGGGTGGAGAAGGGTACTGCACGGTGGGGTGGAGAGAGAATCATCTTCGGAATTAAGTTCCTTATCTGCTACTAACTGTGATCTCGGGTACATTTCTTGACTTCCCTCAGTCTCTGTGAGCTTGTCTGTGAAGTAGGGAGCAACATTAGTCACCTCGCAGATTTGTTGGGGAGTAAAGGAGCTGACACTCAAAAAGTGCTTTGTGTGGGCTTAGGTAAATGTCACTCCCCTGCTTTCCATCTGATGGGGCCCCGGGAGGGTAATGCTGCAGTGGGGCAGAGGTGGGGGAGGGGGTGAGGGTGGCCACGGACGGTGGAAAGAGGCCACGCGGGCTCTGGCTCCCATGGGTCCTGGTCCGGATCTCAGCACTGCCCTGACCAGCGGTATAACTTTGGAAAAGTTGTTTCACTACCCTAAACTCCAGCTTCCTCTAAAGCAGGAATAGTGGTGTTACCTTCTGGATTTTGTAAATATAAACCGAGAAGGTATGTGGATGTACGTAGCATAGCACCTGACGTACAGTAAGTATGTCTTCAGTCTGTTTGAACTGTCCTCACTGTTCCATTCCTGATGTGTTTGGGAATGTGGTCTGGAAATAGCCTTGAAAGTGGGATAAAGCAATTGCCAGGTAATGGGGTTTGGGGAAACGAGGGGGGGCCCCCATATGTGGCTGGGGAACATAACGAGTGCATCCTGCAGGAATATAGCTAAACAGATTGCTTGGGAAGGCACTCTTGTGACACACCTTGTGTTTGGACTTGTTCCAACAAGCAGGTCACCCACGGCTGTTTGTCGAGGACCGAGTGTGTGAATCACAACCCCGTCAGAGAGGCATGTGCAAGGTGCAGGTGGAGTCACGGGACCAGGACGCTTTCCAAAATGTGCACTGCACTGTAAAACTCAAATGGTTTCTACATCTTCTCAGCTGTTACAGAAAGAAATTGGCCCTTGGGTCTCCGGGCCTTGGATGATTAAGCCAGGGGCTGGTAAATGATAAACCTCGGATTATTGTCTAATTTGTGCTTGTTTGTATTTTCTTTGCTCTGTTTGCTCAGTTGGCAGAGAGAACACATTTTCGGAGGAAGCGGACCTGCCTGAGAAGGCAGAAACATTAGGGGCTTATTCTTCTATATTCATTCGTCCGTTCAACAGAATATACATGTGCTTACTGTCTTTCACACAGCGTGTTAAGGGCTGGGGCTCACAACATTCTGTGTGACAGGGTCCTTTGCCCTCTGGTGGCTCTTTGTCTGGTGAGTCACAATAATAGAAATGTCCACAGGTCCTAGGGGAGCACAGCAGGGGAGAGAGGAAGGTGAGAGAAGGCCCCAGTGGTTCTTAACTAGACCTGCCCCTCAGAATCACCTGGGGAGCCTTTTGCCCATCCTCCTGCCTCGTTCAGAGGGCCTGGAATGGCTTAGACTTTCAGATTTTTGGGATGATTCTTTTGCCTCTCCAGTTATGAACCGCTGCAAAGTGACGGGGAGCCTTTGAAGGTGTTAAGCAAGGAAATGCTGAGATCAGGGTGTGTTTTAGGAAAATCGTTCTGGTGGCAGTTTGTGGAGGGCGGGAAAGGCCAGCAATGGAGAGACTAGGCAGTTGGCTGGTGCAGTAGCTCATGGGAAGGAGGATGGGAACTCTGACCCGCATCTGGGACCCTGGCAGCGGCATGGCGTGTCATCTAGGGGTGCTTTTGAGTAACTGTGGCTTAAGCAATCAAGGTATGTAATCATTTCCCATGTGAAGAAGTCTGCATTGAGGGTGGTGCAGTGGGTTGGAGGAGGTGGGGTTCTAGGTCAGTATCTCTGTGATCCTCTTGGCTTTTCCCTTGGGATTGGGAGATAGAGTCTGTTCTGATTACCTGTTGCCAAATGACAAATCACTCCAACAGTTAGGGTGTCAAAACAACCAGTTTGTAATGCCGACAGATTCTGTGGATTAGGAATTCAGGCACAGGGAACAGTGGAGGTGGGTGATTTTTTGCTCCACAATTTCTGGGGACTTCGTTGGGAAGACTTAGACAGCTGTACACTGGAACCTTATAGAGACTTCTTTATTCAAACGTCTGATGACTTAGGGGAAATCTCCGTAGAGACCATCAGTTGGAGCGCCTCTACCTGACCCGTTTCTGTGGCTTGGGTTTCTTAGCCTGGCCAACTCAGGATCATCGGGGTATTACGTGGAGGCTCAGGGCTCCAGCGCAGGGTTCCAGCTCTGGAAGTCATATAGCACATCCCTTCTGTACTCTGATGTCAAAGTAGTCACAGGCCTGTCAGGTTCACAGGAGCAGTGCATAGATACCCCTCTCAGGGGGAGGACCGTTAAAGAATCGGTGCCATGTTTTAAGACTTCCAGAGCCATAGCTCCATATGACACCACCGTGTATGATCATCGCAAGAAGTCAGAAAGGGGGGAGCCAGAGAAGTCCTCAGATCCTTTTATCAGGCGAGAAAACCTCCCCAGTCCTCCAAGTTGACTTCCCTTTGTGGCCCATTGACCAACAGTGGATCACGTGGTCACAGCCACTCAGCTGGGAGGGACACCGGGGAAGTGAGTACTTCGCAAAGGGACAGCGTTGCCAGGATTGACAGAGAACTGATCCTGATTCATCGCCTGGGGCTGACAGCATTGCTGCCCAAACAAAATCAGAGTTCTGTTCACAAGAAAGGGCAAGGGCCAGGGGATGGCTATTTGGTGCATCAAAGTGCTCGCCACAGATGGTGAGCAAATATGTTTAAAAAATGCTTCATACTCATTTTGTCCTATGGGGAATTAAAATATACATGAACTTATTAAAGGCTCTGAGATGTCCCGTAATAAAGAAACCTGCTTAACTTGCTTATCTGAGCTTTTATTTTTTCACAGAGCGCTTTCTGATGTGTAACTTCTATTAGCAAGGGTGAATGAGGACATTTCAGAAAATGCTATTATAAAGTTTTTCGTGTTTTTTTTTTTTCTTTTGTGGGGTCGGGGGAAGTGTTCTTTTTAATTTTTTTTAAGATTTTATTTATTAGAGAGAGAGAGAGACAGAGAGACAGAGAGAGTGAGAGAGAGCACAAGACGGGGTAGAGGCAGAGGGAGAAGCAGACTCCCCGCTGAGCAGGGAGCGTGATGTGGGACTCGATCCCGGGACTCCGGAATCATGACTTGAGCTGAAGGCCTAACCAACTGAGCCACCCAGGTGCCTCAGGGGGAAGTGTTTTAAGAAAAAACTCTGTGAGGCTGTTTCGCAGTTCCACTGGTGTATGAAGCTTACTTATCTCCCGAAGTTACTTGTATTCACTTACTTACTCTTTCAACAGACTTAGACCGAGTGACGCCCTGTGCTTGGCCAGTGATGGCTGTGAGGTAGTGCAACTGGAAAGAGGTCACTGAGTCAGGGCTGGGACAGGCGAGAGTGCAGGGCGTGTGTGCCGGGGGCTGTGGCGCCTCGCAGGGCGGAGCGATGCCTACTTAGAGGAACTGGAAGCAGAGGCATTTCTGCGGAGGCTTGAGTTTTGTTAAAACTAAGAACCTCGGAATAAATGTAGCATGGAAACCTCAGCATGGAGTCAAAGCTAGCAGGTTAAGGATTCTTTAGTTCCTTCTCCAGGTGGAATCTTTGGGTGAGTCGGTGAGCGGGGCAGTGCCTTGTCCTCTCCTGTCACGTGCCCGTTTGCTCTCAGGGCCGTCCCCTGCCCTTTCTGGGCTCCGCTCCGTACTGCAGGGCACTCACTTCCCAGGTTCCCTTGCGCACTGGCTTTGGTGCGGGGAGGCACTGGCAGAAGACTCGAGGAGGAGGGAAGAGGGCGTGGTTTCCCTCCCCAGACATGTCTCCTCCATGGCCTCAACTGTTGCTGGGTAGACCCTGCCTCCAAGCGTTCTGCTGGGCCACTCCACCATGCTCTGGCTCCCATCAGAGGGGGCCTGGCCCTGGGCTCTGGTGACCCTGCTGTTGGGAATTTCCAGAGTGCCTCACCATCCTCTGTTTGGCTTCTTAGCTCTTCCATCCTGGAGGAAAGAACCCCTGCACTCTGTTATTTCGGCTGAAATAACTAGATAGATTTTTGTTTTCCTGACCAAATTTTGAGTGATGCAAAACCCGAATGTACTTAATTGATTTGAGATTATTATCTAAGAATACTAGTTTTCATTGGTCAGTGTAACTCTGAGGTTGCTCCTTTCTTTTCATTCATGAAAGGGGAGTTCCACTAGTTTATCGCTAGTCTTGATAAAACCCCTGACAGACTTGACTTCTGTTGCTTGGACTGAGACCTCTCTGGTCCTTCTAGTCAGTGTGTGTTTTCCAAAGCAAAGAAGCAAACAAATCAAAGAGGACTTGACTGAGAATGTGTAATACAGGGACTATTTTGGATTCTCCTCGTTTTGGGGAATAGTCAAGGTGTATGAACTGTGAAAAGGAGTCATTTTTTTGACCCTTACAATCCCATTACTTTGCCACCGTAAGGGGGTGGCACATAATAAATATGAAGGAATTAATTAATACCTAACTAGAGGTACAGAGTATGTGGCAGCTTAGGGGAGGCAGAGACTCGTTGTTAAGTAGAATGGACAAAGCCTTCCACCCTACCCCACGGCAACCCACCACTTCTCCAAAGTAGGACTTTCTCTGTTTCCCATTATCTAATTAGATTCTACTGGCTACTTAGGTCCAGAAGGAGGTGACCATCCATGCCTTGAAAATAACTCCTCCCTTTAGTTAGATGGTGGTGATTAGTATAATCTGGTAATCATAATGGGTTCCCTGAGGCAGCACCCAACGTGAAGAGTGATTGACCTGCTGTCATTCTTGATTTCCTTGGGTGGCTGCTGACAACATCACAGGGCACTTTGTTAACGTTGGGGATTGCTGCGAGGTGTAGATGAGACGTGCTTGTGAAGGCAAGCAGAGCACCTGGCACGTAATAAACGGGTAGTAATTGCTGGCTGTTCCTGGATTTCTCATCATTTCATTTTGTGAGCATGTACTTTGCGTTAAGTGTTTGACATGCATTATCTCATCTAATCCCCACAAAAACTCTAGGAAGTGGGAAATATGAAAATCCTCGTTTCACAGAAAAGAGAACCAGGGCTGGGTGTGTGTGGGGGGGTGAGTGGATTGTTCAAGATCATAAAACTGCTGGGACGTGAAGCTGAAAGTTGAGCCTGGCCTGTTTGATTCGTAACATTTTCTTTTTCTTTTCTTTTCTTTTTTTTATTAACATATAATGTATTATTTGTTTCAGAGGTACAGGTCTGTGATTCATCAGTCTCACACAACTCACAGCGCTCACCACAGCCCATACCCTCCCCAGTGTCCGTCAGATTCCTAACATTTTCCCAACTGTACTATTTGAATGGCCACATTACTGACAAGTCATTGAAAAATACATTTTATTATTTTATTTTATTTTAAAGATTGATTTATTTGACAGAGAGAGAGAGGAGGGGCAGAGGGAGAGTCTTTAAGCAGACTCCCCACTGAGTGCAAAGGCCGACATGGGGCTCAATCTCGTGACCCTATGATCATGACATGAGCTGAAATCAAGAGTCGGATGCTTAATAAAGCCACTAGTTGCCCCAAAAAATACATTTTGAAAAGTAACATACAATAAGCAGGCATTGAGGATGTACTGGCTGCAAGTTTAGCATGGTGATTAAAAAAATACAACTTTCAGATTCGTTCTTTCAATCAGCAACGATTCTCGAGCACTCTTGGTGTATGAAGCTCTCTGTAGGGAGCCTTGGTTAGAGGAGGAAGGAATAGGCGTCCTGATCTCAGCAAACGGCAACTGAGCCAGTCCTCACAAAACGGAGTGGAACACGAGCATTAACATGACACAGGCTGAATACCCAGGGACGTGGGAGAGAAGATCCAGGAGCCTCCCATCGGCGGTTCTTGCACTTTTATACCTGGTTCAGGAGACAGGATTTGGTGTCTAACAGATGCCCCGTTTTGCCTCTTCCTGCAGCATGGCCTGGAGTGAGTGCCTGTTCTGTGAGCCACAGTATTCTCAGGCACAAAAAGGATCTGATG